CTCTCTCTCTCTCTCTCTCTCTCTCTCTCTTCAGCTTTCCCTGCCGCGTTCGTTGGCTATCCAGTTTTTCCAGGAGGGCAACATTCTGTCCAGTGAAGACAGTACGAATTAATATAAGCGTGCATTTAAAAGTACAATGAGCGAGCGGGCCGTGTCTCTCCGCGTTTCGTTTACTCTGTACCTGGCCTATATTTCAAGCAATCCTCGTCTGTCTTGGGTGAACGTGGTTTTGATTGTCGCGCGAAGTTTCGGATGAAATGCACTACCACTGCTTGGCCGAGCGTGGCTCTTGGCTTGGATTATTTATACCAGTAAGAAGAATAATACGACTTTGATGCATATTAAAAAAGTTAGCGTGCCACAATGTGAAGAATGTGGCACGGCTGGTATATTTCTGGTTTCCCTGGTTTTTCGATTGTGTGATGTTTACTTGATGACCGTGCAAACGCATTTTAAATACAGCAACGGACTAAACTTCAAGGTAATTAATCTTTTGGTTCTTGCTTCACTATGTTGTGAATATTAAATTAAATTAATGGATGTGTAATTAACATAACTGATAACATAATATGTTTGATAACAATTGTTAACATAACCGTGGATGTTTCTCTGCAATTTCATATTTTGATGAAATTAATAATCTTGATAAAAAAAAAAAAAAAAAAAACTGTTTCAACTATTAAACATTATGAGAAATATTGTAATAATCTTGTAATAGTTTATTTTTGCGTATAGTGTACATTTGAAACGTATGAAAATCAATAATCCATCCGTTTTATAATTAGTATTACGTAATATTGTATTTACGCATGATATGTTATCATTTACGATATAATTGATATATTCGCGTGTGAACAATAATTTTATATTGGTACAAGTAACAGAAATATTTTTACTTTTAATAACTCCAGCATGTGTAATGACCGAGACCAGAGCAACAATAAAATGTATCATCGTTAATATCTATGGATGATCGGATATTCGGGCATTCCTATATTTCCTTTAATAATTATTTTATTTGCCAACGAAAATATAAAAAAATTGTTCTGGATCTCCCTGTTTTTTTGATTCTTTTCGCGTTGAAATATCTAAAGTTAAAAATCTACAATTTCCGTCTTTTTCGTGGCGTTGCTTCCTCCCTATTATCGGTATCATAAATAATTCCATTATAACCGACTGACGTGCATATCAAATTCAAAGGTTGAAAAAGATTGAAAAGGATATTTCAAAAGGATATTTCAAAGCACAAAGTTCTTTTACACACAGTGATAGGCTAAAAATACAGTAAATCTTGAAGATAAATAAATAATCATTCCTCAAGTCGTTTTGATTCTGAACTCTACTTCATCACACTATAAATATCTATCATCCAAACGAACCAATCTAGTTCCCGTTCGCTTAAATTTGTTCGCACAAATTATTGATCGCCATCGATACTCATTATAAGAATCCTTCGTTCCTCCAGCAAACTATCACGTCCTATACGCCTCTTCCACAATCTCGTAGAAACACGTTCGGGATCGTTATAACGAACCATAGACCGGATCGAATAGCGATGTACACTTGGTTTGCCGAACGAATTCTCGACGCGTCGGCAGACGTACACGGTTCATTAGACCGATGGAAAGACACAGAAGTTATTCCCGTTAGCCGACCCTGGAAAGTGTTTCGCGTTTGCTCGAAAAACAGCTCGGACGAACGGTCAGTGTCAAACGCATTCCAGCCATGTTCGAATCGTTCTGCGTATCACGTATTCTCATTTGATCCGGCGCAGTGAATCACTTGGAGGGGAGACTCGCG